TTAGTGATTCGCGGCATTGCACCTTGTGAAATACCAGTTTGGCATTCTGCAACGCTATGTGCTACGACAGCCGCTCTTTTCCTAATGACGACTACTCATCAGACATAATTAATGATGGAGTTTCATGCCTTCAAAAAACGACCTCATTAGATTTGGTCGATGGACTCGTGAATGTGATTCTGCTATAACAACCTCACTTTCTATTAAGTGATCCACATTCAGGCTTTGAGTCCGTGTTTTTAACCTAAATATACTACTAAAATACTCCAAGAAACTTTTGGGGCTTGTGTGCAGACTGTCAAGAAAGCAAACAAAAACTCATCCTTCCCATTTAAACATGCTACTAAAATCCTACGGGTCACAATTTCTACATAAATTTTACTGACAGTTCGACCGTCAGTTTCCACTTTCTCCACCATGTGCTTAAACAGGCTAAGGACTTGCGTGTAGATTAGTTTAAGTGACCGTAAACTCGCGCAGCATCGCCCACACTCTCCCTGCTCTCACCCATTTGAGTACGGTGTCAGGACAAGACCGGAGGCGGGATCGGGCACAGTAGCTGACAAGGCCGGCGAACAGGTCTGCACACACCGCAACACGTCCTACTCCCCTTCACTCACAACAGTTCGACCGTCGCTTTCAACGAGCTTCAGTAAGCTGAAGGCAGACGCAGCTGTACCCAATGTCAAGACATAAGTCAAGAAGACCAGAGATGGGGAAGGGTGCAGGCGGTGTGCGCGAACACACTCCAACACGCGCCACAACAACACCATCTTGCTAGGTAGGTTCCCGCCTGCGCGGGAGCGATATAAAGGCCACATTAAGAAGGAGCCATTGAAGCCTGACTCTCAGGCCGCCAGTCAGCCACTCCACACAACAGTACACACACTGGGCTGACTACGGTGCCCAAGTTATCCCGTCAGTTGGCAACCCTCCAAGCCGCGGCTTTTAGCGCACCGCGATAGCTTCAGGAGCAGCAGATGGTTTATATCGAGGAAAGAAATTCACCGAGGGCCAACCTCACTCTCTCCCCTACCGCCATCAATAAAGCAACGTCTAGCTGATCAATAGCTTGAGACGAGATGGACGCAATGGCTGTCAGTGTTGGCGGAGCGTCTGCGCGCGCCTCAGCACAATCTGGCGCCCTTGATGCATGTCTGGATTCACATAACCGGGAGATTAGAAGGAGGCGGCACCTCCTGACACCCGGTGTCGCTCATCAGCCAATTCACACACTGGGCAAGTGCATCAGTTGGCAGCGCTAAAAAGAATTTACACGACCAGGAGATTCGATGGAGGTGTCGCTATCAGATTCCCAGACGATTCTATTACTTTTACTTGGACGCTCATCAATTACTGTTCATTCGCCTTTTAAATGCACTTGCATGAAACATTTCAGTAAAAAGCATTACTGTTTTTTTCCTAGCTGCGCAGTCTTAACATACTGGATGCCATCAAAAGCTCCCGCAACATACTTTCCGATCGAGGTATATTCGAAAATATTCCAGCAGTGGTACAACAATTATTCGTAAGATATAAGATCTTAATGAAGATTTCTCTTTTCATCGTGGCAATCTATTTTATCTTGTTTCATACTTCGAGCAAAATCGATAGCAAGAGAAGAACCTTTTACTGACTAAGTGGTGTTCGTGCCTTCGCCGTGAAACCAAGCACAAGCTGATGAGGGAAGAGAAAGAGTTGTAGGTACCATGCAAGCCTACTATAACTTATAAAAGATTAGTGCGCGAGTCACGGCGTTTGCCTACAGTGCGCTGAAGCACTTTGTGGACAACACCGAACCCGACGGTCGAGTTGCCACGGAGAAAGCGATAAGCCAATAAAATGTAATTTCTCGAGGATGCACGAAATAAGTCAACACCTCCTGGAAGTTTTCCTCCAGTTAAGGTCAGACAAACCGTTTTCCATATGTTGTGACCACACTTCCTCAATGTTGTCTGCCTACAGTTGTGCACTTAAGGTAATTTTATTTCAAAAAAAAACAAAAAACCTGCTTTTTCTAGTGTCTAGTTGTTGTTTGCTCCACCTTCCTTTAGCTGCTTGTATGCGTCGATATGTTCGTTCCTCTTCGGTATATATTTGTCTGCTATTATCTCAAAACTTGTGGTCCGATCTCTACTACTGCTAATTTCACATCGCTTCGAGACTTTCGTTTCCCCATCTCTGGTAAGCACCCTTCAATTTTCTGTTTGGATCCTGACCCACCTACACTGTTTTATAAAACTAGCCACAGTTGGTGTCCGGTCGAACTAAGAGCATAACTTATGAACCTTAAGCATTTATCTTGAAAGAGAAGCTCGCTAAACACCCTCACCCAGTCAAAGCCTTCATCAATGTGCCCTTTTATCTGACCGGATATTAACCTTTACTCAGCGGAATTAACTACTTACGAAACTACCACACAGACGACGCGGTTAGAAAGTACACAAGACCAATGTTAAAGTTAAAAGCTGACACGGAGTCTCTCCATCTTCATGTGGCACTGACTTTCAACACTATATTCCGACTTGAGGGAAAATGTGATTATTTTTAGCCCCTGAAGTGTACAGTGGCTTATTGATCATCAAACGTTTATAATATGGTGGGGTAACGTAACGAAATGAACCGCAAACGATGTGTCGGTCCCCTTACTCATCGATATTAATTATCAATTGCTAATTACGCATTATTACTTATCTGTCGGCAAGGATTCAGTAAAACACTTTTTGAGACCAAATTGAATTCTTCGAAGGTCATACTAAATTAGGAATGTCTACTGAACGATTATTCCATTTATCTTTGAACACATGCATTGGAGGGCAAGCGGATTTGAACAGATAACATCAGCTACAGAACATTCGATCCAATTTCCAGCTGAGTGCCGGCACCAAAATCGGAGGCTGATTTTCTGGTGTTGATGTGGTGTTAGCTGGTGACGAAAATTAAGTTAGAAACGAACATCGCAGGTCACCGTCCGTTTTCAGCAGTTCTTCTAACTTTGCCTATTCACTGACTGGCTAGAGGAGGTATGTCATAGAGGAGGATTTAATTTATCGGTCTATAGTGTTTGGATATAAGACTGCAAACAAGAAAACGCAAAGGCTTCGTAAACATACTTCCGAAAATTCATCAAAATATTTTAATGACTCATGTGTATGCGGCTTTGCTATGGTTTGCGAATTAACTGATTCGATATGTGGCTCGTAATGCAATTAGGCTCCATTCCACAAAACTTACCGATTTTAAATTTTATAATTATTTGGAATTTTGACACAATACTTTCCAGATTACACAAACGGTATTTCGCATCTGGTGACCTATTAATAATAAGGTTTATTTGTACAGCACATCTTCGGTGCCGTCAAAAGCCCGGGTGGCATTAAGATAGAGATGCTGCATTAAGCTTTAGTTTGCTTTTATACTGTCAGTATATTCGGGGACCAGATAAACGAAAAAGCCTAATTAAAACTATTTCCCGGCGATTCTGACGCCAAAACACACATGCCGCCTTTCTTCCTGGAGAGCAGTTTTGAAAGTTTTTCTTATTTCTTTCACAGCGGTGACATGCTACGCCCTGTTTTTACCTTCTATCAATTTGACGAGGAGCAATACTTAGAGTGAATATTTGGCAGTCCTCCGGCGTGTTTAATTTGTATCGCAATTAACCCGCCATTTTTTCCATTAAGTAAAAAGCAGTTTATCTGATGAAGCTTCTACCTGTGTGTGGGCAAATTCACAAGATCCGTGAGTTAAAAAGGGAACCTTACTTGTTGATCAACAGCATTCATCCTGGGACAAAAAATCTGGTATGAAATACACAAAGACCACCAGTAAGATACTGTTCAAACACACGGCACAGCCTCATTTGCATAGTTTTTGTAATCGGCGACAGGGAAGCAATCGGTGCACCTCTCCAAGAGAGTTCTATAAATATGATATTTTATCTAATTATAACTTAGTAAAAAGCAAGCATTTTGTGAGTACATATGTAATTGAATAAGTTGAATAACAGGAGAAGTTTTGACAGAAAGGGGGTCTGAGTCCAACGAGTTAGGAACACCTAGTTTGGTGGGCAATCAGGAATGTACAAATAACATTTGAAATAAGGGAAGCTGAATGACTAAAACACTTACGACGTTTGAGTTTAAGTAGGTCATGGTTATACTAGGGCAAATATGTCTATTATATGATATAAGCTGCCATCTCCCAGCTGCTTATAGTACAAACCACGACTATAAGAGATAACAGTTGGCCAAATGGTGTCAAAGGTCTGCTTCCACTGTTTTCTAAAAGGAAAAAGTTGCAGAATCAGAGCTTTGTTGCGAGCAAACAGTACTAAAAAGTGTTCTTAGCCTTCAACTAAAAAGCAAAATAATTCAGTTTATTTCCGGTATATAGTATTACTTGATTTATACCGTGGTCTAAACATTCTATTCAACTATTTCCATTAACTATTTCTCAGTGTTTTGGGGAGACCATCTCTGGCCTCCAGTAATAATAATTGAAACCGCAGCAAAATTTTTTTTAGAAAAGGGCATTACATTTATCTTTAATTGAGGAATGAAGACTGACAAGCTCTGTCTACAGAACTATGCCGTTCTCTGCATTCGGCATCAGTTGAGGGTGTACGCATACGGGACTGGCAACCATAAGTTGAGTTAGAATAAATCATAATTAAAAATCTCTTAAATTAATCGCTGTCAATCCTGAAATTAGCTTTACTTTCCGGTTTCCAGATGGAGTTTGGACACAATTTAAGTAAAAAGACGGTTCAGAAAGATTAAGGCTTTTTGCAGAATGCTGTACTAAATGAATTAGGTTTCGACCAGCTTTGAATTGATCGCCTTCATTAAAAAAGGAAGTGACAGTCTGTGAATATGGTCTACACTTTTAGAATACCACCCTCATCTGACCTTTTGGCTCATACTCTGCAAATTAATGTAAACAATGCCTGCAGATCAACCTAAAAACCAACCCGCAGATGTATTTCTGCATTCTTTGGATTAAGACAAAAAATTAGGCAAGGCACACTCACCGCCGGGCAGAAACGTCTCCAGGACCTCCTTTTCATAAAGGTAGGGCTCCATGTTGGGGCAAGTGTCACCGAATGGCCGCTTTAAATTCGACAACAAGTAGGTTCTAGTGAGTGTTGGAAGGACATGATTCCAAAAGTTGCACTGCACATCGCGTAGACCGCTCTTCACGGAAATTTCTGTGTCGAGTTCCAGGTACTGTCGTCTTTCCATGTCATAAAAAGGCCAACGAGGCCCAGACTGTTGGCCATCGCTTGCCTGGTTTGCATCTCTGAAGGTAGGCAAGTAAAGAAGAATTGAGAAATAAGGTCCGACAGGGAGCTCCCCCTAGATGTCTTATCACTAAGGATCGAAGGACGCCCAAGCGAAGAATGACATAGCATCTTCACTCTGCGGCAGTTTAGATAAATGAATCACATTCTGAGAGGAGCTTTAGTTATTTGCGGAACCACGGCACAAACTTTGCAATAAAAAAATAAACGGAGCAATCTAGGACCAATCCGAGTCATACATAAGCAGAACCGGTGTAGGTTACATCTCTAAAATATGTTCTAGATTAGAAAGGCGTACTTAAGTTGACTTTTACTATGACACGTCTTGCAGCAGAATCTTCAAATATTATGGTTACATCGGGATTTTGGCTATGAAAAAAATCTTCCTTTCTGCCACCTTCAACGTCTACTCTCTGCAAGAATGACTATAATGGTAGCATGTCTTTTGACTGTTGGTTTTCGCTGCTCTTGTAACTTTAAATATATTTTATAGTAAACATGCACGAATACATTATTTCTTTTAATTTTTAGGCAGACAACTGCCTTTTCATTAGATCTTTTGACTTAGGAAAATAATTTTTAAATTTTAAAAGTAATCGGGAGTTAAAGAGGTCGCAAATGGATATCTTTTTTCAAAGATACAGTTTAAAGAAGACCTTATTTGCTACTAAATAAGTTTGAGAAATTATATTTTTGTGCATATTTTCTATTAAATAGGAAGTAAAAATTTGTTCTAGACTGAATTTTTGCAGGAGACAGAAATAAAATTTGTAAGAGCTCCACCATCTCGAACAAAATATCTGGAGATTAGGCTGTACTATACGAAGTATTACATTCCAACGTGAGTGAACTTTCCTAATCAAAAAACATATTTGAGAATACAATTTGACACGTCGCAAGGTCACACATGATTTTTTCTTCTTCATTATCTTCTTTTAATAATTTATGCTATCACGATTTTCACTGTTGTAAATACCTCTAATTTTTTCTTAAAAGAAGCTAACTTAACAATATTTTTTGGTAAGACGCGGTAATCGGCACTCCTCATAATAGAAATGGCTTGGGCTTAGTTTGCGGAAGTCCACTTACCCTAACTTAATTTCTCTAGAATCGCAGTCCAGATTACCCGTGTTATAGAGAGTAACTAATTCTGTATTAGAAAATATAAAAGTTGTATATGCCTGTATTCACTGCAAGTATTACAATTTTACTTGTAAGCCTCGTAAGCTGCTAGTTGTCGTCAACTTATTAAAAACAATTTAATAAAATTAGTGTATGAAATATGAGCCTAGTTCTATTCATCTCTGCAAATAATTAGCTTAAACACATGAGAGCCTATTAATGAATTGACAACTTATCATAGTTCAAATCATATTTTAATAAGCTCTTGAGCTTCAAATGAAATGAACTTTAAACAAAACTTTGCCGCGGAAACTGCAAACCTAAAAAGTCAAATTTCATTTATGTCCCTGAATTAAATTACTTTTTTTTCCATTCATGTAGATTGCGTATAGGTCATCAGGATAATTAGGGGTTTGGAAGTCTTCTCTTTTTAACAATTTTCAAATGGGCTGGAAATTTATAGTTTTCATCAATTGAGAGTGTTAAGCATGTTGACAAAGATAAAGAAATTGTATATTAGAGGCCCAAGGGGCCCTTTCATTACAAACTTAGTGCGATCGTGAAAGTAAGAAAAAATAAAAAGATTTCAGATTAACAACGAACTCTTATAAAATAATTAGCTGGGCAGTAAAAAA